ATATTTGCCAATTAAGACGCATCTTCATTAGTATCGTGCCATCTCGAAGCGTTACGTATTTTCCACAATAACGTTGTATCTCCAATGTGCTAAAAGTGTCTCATGAAAGTTAAAGATCTTAATCGCTAATAATTTCCAAAGTATTTACTTCGAAACTTTTAAGTTTCTCTTAACTGTTTGTGCAATACGAAAGTTATTAAAATAAAAAGAAAATTAAAGCAACTGCATATCTCATGCACTCTACGCAATTAAATGGAACTTAATATTCCACTCTAGAAAACTATTCTGAAAATGTAAAGGGGGCTTTGACAGAAAAATAATAATATTTTACTAATGTCATCAGTACGGAGGAAGGTTTCTGCTGCAGTAGGACAGATGAACGTTTTCCTTTTTTTAATAAATTAACAGAGCTTTAGAGCAGCGATTAAGTTTAACTGCGGAAGCTCTAAACTGTTAAACCATTATTTCTTCGCGGATTATTAACTATTTAATATCCGCTTAATAATCTGGGCGCACTATCCGAGTGAGACAATGTTGAAACCCGCAGTGCGGAAAAAATATTTTTACATTTTAATAATAAGGTCAAAGCCCACGTGTAATTCAAACTTTAAGATTCATCTAGAGTGCACAGATTAGCACTTAAAAATAAAATTAATCATAAAAGTCCGTTAATATATTTGAAAGGGCATTTTATCAACAACACGCTTTGGAATGTGTGGGAATGGTGGCCAAGCTAAAATTTTTCTTACGACACGATTTTCTGTATCTTGATCGGCATAAGATATTAGTTCTATTCTAGAGGTTTTTTATTTTCCTCGTTAGGCTATACGAGAACCGAAATCCGATGGTCTTCAATTAAATGTTACGAAGACATTTCTCGGTCGCCGTCGAAGGGAGAGCGAAGTATTTACGGTTCGTGGTCTTTTTCCTCACGATCCGAAAATTGGACGAATTACGGATTCGAGCGTCCTCGCACTGAGGAATGTCGAATTGTTCTTACTATTTACTTTTATTGTCTTAATGCAGCTTAGTCCCGCGCTGGTCGCCTCGTCGAATTCACATCTATATCTTTAAAGACATTTAAAGACATTTAAAGACATTTATTCCGTCAACTTAAAATAGTTGTACAGAACTTAATCAATAAAATTACAAAAAATAAAAACACAGAAAAAAAAAATGTTTACGAAAAGAAAAAAATATATCAAAAAAGAGAAAAATGGGTAGTAAAGTATCGATTAAAATTATTAATTAAACAATTTAATGTGTGTGTGTTGGCAAGGGACACGCCTCACTAAGCCGCAGGAGTGCAGCGCTGATTTTCAGTCGGCCCCATTCTCGAATAGAATTCGACGTGGTTGTCCAAGCCACGGCTACTAAGCCCCTCCGCCACGACAACTTGCTCTCAACCACCGAAGGTTAACTGGACGAAAATGCTATTTAGCATTAAGTTCGCCGTTGTAAAAACTTTTAGTACAATAAAGAATATACAAACAAAGGCAAGGAACCAACCAGATCGGAGGCGATACCACCTTCCCCAGAACCATGACCTGCCCTTGGTCTAGAGAGTGAACATTCGGCATTAGACCAAATTTCTCGTTTGAAATTAATTAGGTCAGCTCTCGTTTTTATACAAACGTCATACTTCGAGCAAGTTCCAAAGATTTCTTTTTATAATTCATAAAATTAGTTAAGGTACTATCAAATGCATGTACTGGGACGGGTATGATTTCTGTTTAAAATTTGATCTTACTGAAACTTTAGCCATCAACCCCATTACTAAAGTAAAAGTTTTGAAAATTGAACCCCTAACTTTTAGCGCGTAACTCTGAGATAATTAATGTATTCATTTCCCTCAGCACCGTGTAAATTTCGGAAAAATTACCTAATTATGTTATCATCGAATTTAAAACACACATCAAAAGACGTGATTTATGCATGATTTCAATTATGCAAAGTACACAAATACATGTGTTTTAAAAAGTGAAATATACTGCATTGTATTTAATCAGACATATTACACCCTGTTTCACTGTGTCGTCAATAAAATTCGTCGTCGAGACTCTAGCCAGGCAAACTTCAGACACGAGTGACTTACATTACGGTTGCACGTCAATCGAGTTCAGGCAATTTGATTTATGAGAAAACACCAATAATCTTTCGGATCATGGAACGATACGTTTAGGCTTATTACTTCCCGTACGTAACACTTGTGAACACACTACTCTGTATTTTTTTTTTTAATTTTATATAGGGATACTAGATGTTCCTTGCGCTCTCATTCGCGAGAAACTTTTCTGCTTCGCCCCTTGGTGTTAGCGTGATGTTAATAACCTCACCGCTCTGAAAGCTCTGTGGATCGTCGTAATTCGCTCGCCATTCGGGCTGCACTGCGCCACCTTCTGCGGTACACGTGCGAATCTCATTTTTTTTTCGCATTCACAAAACGCCGCGGACACCGGCGCTATGCGGCCGTTCGTTACGAATGAAAGTTGTTTATTTCGATTTGTTATACGCCGCCTCGTTCTCTTTTCGGTGTAGTTTGTGTGACCTACTCGTATCTACGTCGAAACGTAAACTGAAATGTGGGTTTTACGAAAACAACAAAAATGACTAGTACGCAAAATGCTGTATATTTATATGGAATTTTAGGTTGTGTTTCTTTTCTTTTAATTTTTATTGCATATTATTTTGAGCGTAAATAACAAATATTTGCCACTTTAGGCACAAGGCTTTTAGTACAGCAGCAATCCACATCAAAGTATAATTAAAGTAATTGGAGGAGGATACCATTACTAAACCTTCTTGATTCTGAGTTCGCTGAAAAGTATATAGACTCATAGTGTCTATTTTAAATATAAATTTATTTACACATAGACAAAAGCAAAAGGTCAGCAAATAATTCATTATTCATAACAAACCATAACGGAATAATTATAGATTGACTGACATGATTCAAGTTAAATATTTCAGCAGGCTGAATTTCTTAACCCCATGAGAATAAGAAACGCCAAATAAATTTTATTTTTCCACCCGTGCCAAGCCGGAGAGTGCAATCTAATGATAACACAACTTGAAACTAGTAACAAATGTTATCATCTATACAAAGACTATTTTTTATTAAGCTGATATGAGCCGAGCCATAATATGTGGGCAGTGGACTAAATCGTTTCGGGTGCGATAAAAAAGTGTTTACAACACGCACCGCCACACGTCGGGATGGTCAGCCTGTCATGTCTACTCCGAGTATAGGCATGGGGGCTCCTGCTGTTGTATATGGGGCTCTCGTAAGGGTTCTGTGCTAGTTGCATCGACACAGTACCATTTGGCCGGACTGGGTGGCCTAGCACCCGTGAAGAGGAGGCCTAAGAAGGCCACAGCCGTTCCAGGGTCGCGGAAGATTCCGTCTTCGTGTTCCCGTGTCCCCGGCTGATGCGACAGAGACAGGTGCAACGTGGGTTTCCCAAACCCGTGGGTTCTGGATAGCCCACCGGTTCTGCGTCAGATGAAGCTTTAATAGTTTCGGGACTGAAAGCAAAAACATCAGTTAATACAAGATACAAGAACGTGGGTTTTTTTAGTGGTTACCCGTTCGTGACTGGGACTTCCACATACTCCTGCCCCTCTCCGACCCGGTGGCAGGGCAGATCCATGAAGGATTTTTCCCCTCGTAAAAAAAAAGTTGCCAGTCACGACATTGAATACGACCGCCTCGAACTGGCACACCGACGGATCGCGGCCTCGCGCAAACAGTGCTCAAATCCGCCGATAACCTAGATGAAGGCCGACGCGGAAATGGGCCGGTGGGTGGCGTGAGGGGGGGGGGGGCGAGAAGAGAGAGAGAGAGAGCGAATGACGTTAGAAAGAATCATCAAGTACAAACGTAACTATCGTTCAGTTCGTGCGATGATTTCTGGAATTACGGTGTTAAATATATTAAATAAAAAAAAACTAGCTTTTTAGTGCGTGTTGCATTCAATATTGAAACCTAAAATGTGATAAACTGTCGGCAAATTTCTCGCCGCTTTCAGAATAATTTTAGACTTTTAAATGTGAAGTCAAATTGTCTAAACCCTTTTCGACTATTTATTTTTCAACACATTATAAATTGCGAAAACTTCACAACATCCTATGTATTGTATCAATACATATTTGGTTATTAAAAATCGTCCGTTCCTTGTGCAGCATCTACTTCCATTATCTAATGCGCAAATATATTTAGCGCGCATCTAATTATCTATCACTCGTCCACAGTCTTTGACTAACATTATAAAGCAGGAAAATGTTATTGTACATTTAATTATATCCGTAATATCTAAAACCACTGATTCCATTTGATGTTTGAAAAATCATTAAAAAAATAAATGCAAACATGTACTCCTCTACTCTATTTCTTCTTTTTATATTTCACGACCAGTTTGGCCTAGTGGATAGTGGACTTGGCCCCTGCGTCAGAGGGTGGGTTCGATCCCCACTACTGGAAGAATATTGTATGATGAAACATATTCTTTTTTCAGCGTCTGGGTGTTTTATATATCTATTACGTGTATATTATAATATGTCCTGATATATTTATTTATTTTACATATTTATATTTAAAAAAATGTGTTAGTCTTGTGGTTTTCCTTCAGTGTGTGGTAAATTATCACGTTAAACTGCTATTACTGGGATTTGAACTTAACAAAAAAAAAACTTTACTTCCCCCGTTTATATTGAATGAAACGCACGCGCCGCTCACTTATCTATGTATACAATTTGTTCAAATGGAGATATGGAAATTTCGACGCGTTTATATTGTTATTTCCGTGCAAATGCTGTATATGTCGCTTATTAAAAAATATGGAAACAAGAAACAATCGCTCGTATCAAGTTTCCAGGGCGCCGTCGCCACTATCGGCGGCCTGTGGGCGGAATGCCGTCGACCTTTCGCTTATTTAGTGCATAAACAATCGTTTATCGCGTTTCCACGATCGTTTTCAGCGAAATTAATATATATCCCAAAGATGAGAGGACGCTCGGTGGGTTTGTATGCTTTCTGCTTCCTCGCATTTGGACAAGGCCTCCGTTCCGTAAAGAAGCCTTGTTGAAAGGTGAGGAAGTGGGTCTTGGCCTGACGTATTTAACGCCAAATATATATATATATATTTATGTGAAAAGTTGTCAAGCGAGCAGATGGTTCGCCTGATGTTAAGTGAATACCGCCGCCCATGGACATCTGCTACACCCGAGGGTTCCAGATGCGTTGACAACCTTTTGAAAATTGGGCCCAGGCCAACTCACTTACCAGTCGAAACGCCAAAGTATTATACTTCAACTTTACGCCGGTCTTCTGTGAGGTCGTGGTACTTACCCGGACGAGCCTGCCCATTCGTGCAACAGTCGAGGCTGCTGCGTGGCCCTACCACCGTGTGTGTATCAGTACGCCTATCATCAATTTCGTCTTTGTTTTACAAGAGGCCCTACCTCGTTTTTTTCAGGATGCATTTTTTGCAGTGTGAGCTGTACTTTGATAAGTACTGATGACTGAAGAACTGATGTTCTTGCCTAACATTTCCTTTTTATTAACAGACTTGAAAAAAGGAGGAAGTTCTCAATTGAACTGTATTTTTTTATGATTGTTATCTTATAACTTTCGACTGAGTTAACCGATTTTGATGAACCGTGTGGTCCCATATTAATTTGATTACTATTGGATCTTGGGCTCCAGAGATACTCAGGGAACTTTGAAAATCAATTATAAAACGATAACAGAGAGAGATATTTGAAGTCGATTTTGTTTTTTTTTTTTTTAATAAAAAAATAGATTTGTTCCTCGAATATTGGCACAGTCACGTGACTTTTCTGCTGTACGCATTTTGGACATGTTGCACAAGTCGATTCCTCTCTCTTCTTTAAATAACCGGACAAAAGGCTCGGTGGCCCTCCATTTTTTGGCTATCAACATCAAAAAAAAACTTCCTTTTTAAATACGTTTTATAGACATATAAACACACAGGCGCTACATAAACACTATGTTCATCACACAATATTTTTTAGTAGTGGGAATCGAACCTACACCGTCTGGCGCAAGAGACAGGTTTACTATCCAGTACGCCAATCGGGTCTCGCTCTTTGTGCCTTGACCTGCAAGCCCTCTCGAGTTGGTACTCAGTCTGGCTGGTGCAGGTACTTATACTAAGTTTCCTCCTAGTTCTCAGGACTGGTTCAAATCTGAGAAGTGGGATTCTTAAGTTCTTGAAAAAGCGTAAATTAAATTAGATTTTGACTTTTTTTTTAATTTTATATGACGTACCATTTAAGAAATGCTTTTTCTGTATATATTAAGGACAACTTTGTTTTGCCATATAAATTATTTCTAGAGGAATCGGAACGCGCGCACAAAGTGTTTGACAGCTTACACAGACATAGCAGGTTGAATAGGTACAGTGTGTATGGGAAAATGAAATTGAATTTCCATGCAATTTTTTATAATTTCTCATAGTTTAAACCTTCCCTGGACTGCCACAAATATTTCAAAACCAAAATTAGCCAAATCGGTCCAGCCGTTCTCGAGTTTTAGCGAGACTAAAGAAAAGCAATCCATTTTTATATATAAGAAGATTGTACGGAATTATTTACTTGACTTTTACATCTAAACAAGTATAAACTTTCTATTAACTATACAATCATACCAGAAATACCAGAAACTTGTCGAAAATAATTTCAGGGCATTTATGATAACAATAAAGGTTAAAAGTTTATTTTTTTATTTTTAAGAAAAAATAAATAAATCTATCACAATGTATTTACTGATAAAGGGTTAGATACCTTCCTCGATACAGGCTTTCCTAGTGAGGAGACAACAAATATTATATTTATACCTTAAAAATAGCAAATTGTACTTATTATATTATATTTATTCTCGTAAGTTAATTTTAATTCGTAGCGCTTTTTGATGTAAATAAAATGTTTTCAGTTTTCTCTAATATTGATATATTTGATCTTTGATAAGTTCAAATTAGAAATATGATAAGAAATGAGAAACAAGAAAGGAAATCAATACACAATTGTTATCATAGATATGACCGTCAATAGTCCCTAAACACTCGGGCCTTGGTGAATAACAACTTAATTAGCCACTCGAAAGATACTCCGCCAGTGCTAATTTCGCCTTTAGCGTCCAGTAGGACAAGAAGCTAAATTCACAATGGTAGGTACGTACCATTGAAAAAATATTTTCGCAAAAAAAACATGGAATAGTAAAATTGTATAAAAAAAATAAACAACAACAAAAAGTGAAATTTGCGACCCTGCCAGGATTCGAACCTGGAATCTTCTGATCCGTAGTCAGACGCGTTATCCGTTGCGCCACAGGGCCTTGTGATATTCCTTCGAAGTATGTCATTACTTTACGTTTGTGATTTCTCACATATCGTTGTAAATGTATTAAAAACGTTTAATTATATTTCACAAAAGTAGTAGTGTATTTATTTATTCATAACAAAACTAAACGTTAACTAAGTGAAACTATGTTAAACAAAAATAACTCTAAATTTAACAGAAATGGTAAAGTTGAAGATTATACTATAATTTAAGTTACGTAAAGTGATGAAAATTGTACGAATGAAATTCGGAATTTCTACAATTTATTGTATTTCTATATTTCTGTAATTCTGAAAAGTAAGAAAGAACTAATTGAATATTTTTTAAAATACGCGCCAAAATTAATAAATTGCGTGAAAAAAGAAATAGGCATATTTTTAAGACGTATGAAATTAATAAATATAATTTAAAGTTTTGAATGTATATAACATTCAAAACTTTAAATTGATTTTTATGTACTGCCATCTATCGTCAAATTGTGATTCAATTTTAGCGCCATCTAGTGACAATATAAATGCGTTCTGTAGGTGACAGTAATAAATGGTTAATTTTTTCAATAAATCAATTAATCAATTGTATATTCTGCTACCTTTTCGTGTTATTTTTAAGTATAGTGTATTAATATATAGCTGTATACCTACTTTGTACTTTCTGTAATATTTTATATAAATAACTCTTTGTTTATGATTTAGCTACTAGAGGAGGAAACTTAAATGGTTTTGGAGTTCTTATATTATATAAATAGTGATAGGGTGGCAAATAAAATGAAATATACAATCCAAAATTAATTTAGTATATTTTCTCTATTACATATTTTCTCAATAGTTTTTTTACAATTAAGTACGCTTTTATTCATTTCTGACTTAAAGGATCTGCTAGCTATATTTTTTATGTGAGAAGGTGGAAAACGAGCAGGCGTTTCACCTGATGTTAACTACCAGCGGGTTCCAACCCGCTACTTGACTTCGCAAGCCGGACGCCGAGCCGCCAATCCGTCGCCGCCTTAAGCTCTCTGATTTCTCAGCTATACGTTTTGTAAGCGAGAGCGTCATTCAATAGCGATAAACATCTTGAATTCAATTGAAATGTGTAATTCTCTTGTTTCAGATAAACTTGCGACTGATCCTCGTTTCCGGGAAGACGAAGGAGTTCATCTTCAGCCCCGTGGACTCGGCTGGCGACATCGCTGTGCACGTTTATGACAATTGGCCGGAAGGTGAGATTTGAGAAAGATAGACACACTCGTTGAGGTGTAAAACTCAAAGCGTATCTATAATGCGATTTGTTGCAACCAGTCTGTGACGGATTTGTAGTCTTGGCCGCCCTAGGCCAAAGCCCATGTAGTGAGTTCCAGCCGCCCCTCTCTCAGCGCTTATCGTATAATTCGTATATCTTGTTATCATCAGTGAATTTTTTGTCACGATTGGCCGGCCCCAATATGTGGCCGCCCTAGGCCCGGGCCTATTGGGCCTTAGGGCAAATCCGCCACTGGGTGTGATGTTGAGGGGCATGATAAGGAAGTGTCTAGGCTTTTTCAGTGTAGCTCACTGAAATCTCACGGGAGAAATAACAGTACATTTCCATTACATTTTTGTTTTTTATTCACCACCGCGTATAAATTATCCTTACTAATATTATAAAGGCGAAAGTTTGTATGTATGGATGGTTAACGTTGGTAGGGCCACGCAGCAGCCTCGGCTGTTGCACGAATGGGCAGGTCCGTCCGGGTAAGTACCACGACCTCACAGAAGACCGGCATCAAGTGGAAGTATAATACTTTCGCATTTCGTTTGGTGGGTGAGGTAGCCGGAGCCCAATTTTCAAAAGGTTGTCAACGCATCTGCAACCCTCGGGTGTAGCAGATGTCCATGGGCGGCGGTATTCACTAAACATCCGGTGAACCGTATGCTCGTTTGGCAACTTTTCACATAAAAAAATGTCTGTTACTCTTTCACGCAAATACTACTGAATTTATTTTAATGAAACTTTAAAATTATATAGTTTATACATCAGAATAAGACATACAGGCTATAATTTATATGTATATATGTTTTTCAGTCTGAATTTTACGCTTTCTGCCTATTCTACGTAGTCGCGGGCAGCAGCTAGTTATTTTATATACCTAGTTAGGACAATGGCGTTCGTTGTTGTTATTACTTTCTTTCCTTATATTCGTCTCGCAGCGTAAGTTTTACAAAGAAATCATTACAATAACTAATGTTTTTCTCTGCAACCAGTTGAACCACGTGAGAAAATATTTTTATCTATATTTATAAATACGCCAAGCCGAAACAATGAATTTCTCCGCGGCACAGTCATGTTTTTTGTTTACTTCCTTTGACAAATGAAACATTTTGTCGAATGCGCGCTGCGTTCGTTAATTTTCACCTGCCAGTTACTGTTAGCAACTGTCAGTTAAAATTGCGAAACAATACAGAAACGAAAATAAACGTGATTTTTTTTAATTTGAAAAATATTTAAAAGGGAATGAAGAAACGAAACATTTTTTCTTTTGCAAATCGACGTTTTAAACGTCTGACGTTTTAAATTATACTAGCTTACTCGCGTGGGGTACTAAGCCCTATTACTCTCTGAATAGACGAGGCCTTTGCCCAGCAGTGGGACATTTATAGGCTGTTACTTTACTTTTACTTTTGAGCCGTGATAGCTCAGTATCCGGGCGCTCGCCTTTAATTCAATATACTCGAGCAACCTGAGTTCGATCCCCGGTGCCGGCACCAATGAAGTTTTTAACTTTAATTGCTGACTTATCACGTGCTCCGCGGTGAAGGAAAACATCGTGAGGAAACCTGCATATTTTCGAAATAATAACAAAAAATATTTCGAAGATATGTGAAGTCCGCCAATCCGCAGTGGGGCCGCGTGGTGGACTATGCCCTGATACCCTCTGTATAGAGGAGGCCTTTGCCCAGCAGTGGGACATGTATAGGCTGTTACTTGACTTTCTTTACTTTACTTTTAATGTCATACTCATTGATATGTATTGAATTAAAGCTCCCGGTCACTGAGTTATCGCGGCTGTTATTAAGATTAAGATTGAGTGACAAAGTTGTCTTAAGTCAGACATTTATTGAATTATTGACAGTTATCATATTTCAAAACTGAGACGTTTGATTCCGTTCCGTATAATCGAAAATTCATCGTTTCCGATAATCCGATTGCCTCGGATGAACAACTTCGAAGCGATTGTAACTTGATAACGGATCAAAGTTTGCAAACATTACTTGGGGAACTCCTGTGGACGTCATGAACCGCAGCAAAGGATTGTCGATTATTATAGAAATGACGTAGCAGTTGTCGTACTGCTTAGATTCTTCTTTCTGGTCGTTTTCATCATGTCTGATGATCGTGGTTGGCGGTCGTCGTTCTAGCACGAATGAGATCTCTCCATCGATTCCGGTCCATCGCGGTCCTAACCATATCGCAGAAATTCGGAGACGGTTCTGTGTCCTTGAGCTGGTCAGTCCATCGTGCTGGAGATCGGCCACGTGATCTTTTGCCTTCAGTGTTTCCAACAACTATCAACCTTTCCAAGCTTTCGTCTCCTCTTCTCATTATGTGGCCAAAGTAACTAAGGAACCGTTGCTCGCAGATTGTGGACAGTCGCGTCTTGATGTTGAGGTCCGACAGTATGCACTGATTGGTGCGTCTGGCTGTCCATGGTATTCGCAGCATACGCCTCCAACACCACATCTCAAAGGCATCAATCCGCTGTCTCTCTCTACTCTTGACAGTCCACGTTTCGGCTCCATATATAAAAATCGAAAACACCAGGGCTCGTACTAAACGCATTTTGGTTTTTTTGGAGATTCCGCGATTTTGCCATATTTTATTAAATTTCCATAATTCTGCATAGATAAAGAAGCAAATTTCACGTCAAATCCCAAGAGTTGCACGGTCACCAACGAACGTAGCAACGATTAAACGTAAAAAGATAATCTCATTTTCTATACATATAAGCGTGTCTTTACAATTGCGACAATAAATGAAGAGACATATAGAGGATAACTTTTTAAAATTGTATTAAAGATTTACATTCTTTAAACATCAATATTTAACGAGTTATCAAATGTTCCAAAACAAAGAATTTTAGAACACCCTTACGTATAAAACTTTTATGTAGAGTTCATTTGTAAAGGTCACAAAGCATATTGTTGAATGAATTTAAAAGAGATAAAACATACTGTTAGAAGGAGAGGCTTGTAATGCGACGCTGTGGCAACGAATGAAAAAGTCTCTGAATGTATGAATCAGTCTGTTGTAGTTGTATAGGATGTTACAAATTTTGTTTATTTTTTACTTAATTAGTTTGTTTGAAAAATATTTTTTTTAATTATGGATTTTTCAACGTTAATATTTTTTTATGATTATTGGCAAGTAGCGTTAGACGTGTGTTCATTTATTGCGCGATGGTAAGAACACGCTGTATACATGCACTTTTATCGTTTAATTGTGAAGTATAATGATATGAGCGAGCGCAATTCCGAACAATTGTTGATTTTGTTGGCATGATCGACTTACAAGAAATCTGTAAGTGACAACCGTCAAGTGATAAGCACTACCGATGGACATTTGCAACACCCATAGGGTTGGAAGGCGTTACCAACTTTTAATGAAGTGGGCCCCGGCTACCTCACTCACCAAACGAAACGCAGAAGCGTAACACTTCTACTTTACGCCGGTCTTCTGTGAGGTCGTGGTATTTACCCGGACGGACCTGGCCATTCGTGCAACAGTGTTGCGTGGCCCTACCACCAGCTAGAATGAGTGTTTCGCAGCAATGCATCCGCTACGGACGTTACCGTATCCCGTTGCGTAACCGAACGCTATTTTCGACGCGTGGCCGGGGCATCGCGTGGCGTCTCAAGGCGATCCGATATCGCACATTGCCCAACCACCGAATCCACCACTACGCGAGCAAAATGCTTCCGAACTCGAACGGCAACAAACGCGACTCGGAATATTTAACGAGAGTCTACTACGTGTCCGCAAGCTGGAACGCGATTGACGCGTACGTATTCGATTTCGAAATGAACGCCATAGTTTCAGTTTAAATTAAAACATAGTTGCTTTTAAAAAATTTCAACCGACTTCTAAAAAAGGAGGTGGTTCTCGATTCGGTTATATTTTTTTTAATGTTTGAACTCAAACTCCTTTATTTATGACGGCGGCCGGGTTTCGAAAATTCTTTTTGCATTGGTTTCGGTTTAGCATATGATATTATTTATTTTAGTATATAGGTTTAGGTATTGGGCTCTGGTAATACATCAGGGAACTCCTCAAAATGAAATGTGTATTGTGAGTGAGATATTTGAATTCGTTTTTTTTTTTATTAATAAAAAAGTACTTGTTGTAAATACCAGTCCAGTAGAAAATGATCGATCCTTACCTTGAAGACGCTCGCTTTGTCCTGCTATTTTTCTAGTCTGTAGTAAGAGGTGGCAAATTGATCTTTAGACTTGTTATACGCATAGTTAATGTATTCGATAAATATATAAAGACTGTAAGATATACGTTTAGTAAGTAGTACTTATTAGTATTACGCGTAGTAAGTTAATAAGATGAAATGGAATGGAAGTTGGATATTTCTTGCATATCTCTTGGATACCGTTTCGGGTATTTTAAACGACGACCTTGTTCTTTAAAAACATTGAACTGTAAACATGTTGGGAACACGATTGTAAACCCTAAAAAATTATCTGTTATATGTGCTTATTAAATTATGTCGTAAAACTTAGCAAAATTTCTAAACTAATGACAGAGCTGCTATTTTCATAACCCCGGGACGAAGATGAACAAGTTTAGTCATAAATACGCTAATCAAGATAGAAACTGTACTGTGGGCCTAAATTAATTATTGTTCGAGATGAATTAATAAACTTAAAATTAGAGCACCGTTTGGAAAAGTGATAGTTGGTCTTATAAAATATTTATAACTCCTATTAGCATTCAAAGAGGTGAGCATCCTTTCAGAGCCCTGTATATAATAACGGCGAATAGAGTCGCAGGCCATTTTAATAGTAAAGCTATCACAACTACGCAGAGTTACAAAAGAACTCTGAATAATGTATATACGTGTATTTAGGTGGGTCCTAATGGGCCATAAATATCACTTATGAGCGCGGCGGATGAGCCCGATGCTCAATGTACCGGAGCCTGGAGTAGTGACAATACTGGCATTAGTGTCGCCATACA